GACTTCTTAGGTTCCCCAGTGAGTATAACAAGCATGTTTTACTGCATATAAGGACTGATTTTACTGTTGTGGGTTTAGTAACACTTTAATGTCATAATGTGCTACTAGGCACCACATACAGTGCCTTGAAAAAGTATTCATACCCCTTGAAATTTTCCACATTTTGTCATGTTACAGCCAAAAACAAAAATTTATTTTATTGGGATTTTATGTGATAGACCAACACAAAGTGGCACATAATTGTGAAGTGGAAGGAAAATTATAAATGGTTTGTTTTTTCAACATTTTTTACAAAGAAATATCTGAAAAGTATGCCATGCATTTATATTCAGCCCCCCCGGGTCAATACTTTGTACAACCACCTTTCGCTGCAATTATAGCTGTAAATCTTTTTTTGGATGTCTCTACCAGCTTTGCACATGTAGAGAGTGAAATTTTTGCCCATTCTTCTTTGCAAAATAGCTCCAGCTCTGTCAGATTGGATGGAAAGCATCCGTGAACACCAATTTTCAAGTCTTGCCACAGATTCTCAATTGGATTTAGGTCTGGACTTTGACTTGGCCATTCTAACACATGAATATGCTTTGATCTAAACCATTCCATTGTAGCTCTTGCTGTATATTTAGGGTCGTTGTCCTGCCAGAAGGTAAACCTTCGCACCAGTCTCAAATCTTTTGCAGACTCTAACAGGTTTTCTTCTAAGATTGCCCTGCATTTGGCTCCATCCATTTTCTCATCAACTCTGACCAGCTTCCCTGTCTTTGCTGAAGAAACGCATCTCCACAACATGATGCTGCCACCACCATGTTTCAAGATGGGGATGGTGTGTTCAGGGTGATGTGCAGTGTTATTTTTCCACCACACGTAGAGTTTTGCTTTTAGGCCAAAAAGTAAAATTTTGGTCTCATCTGACCAGAGCACCTTCTTTCACATGTTTGCTGTGTCCCCCACATGGCTTCTCACAAACTGCAAACGGGACTTATGGCTTTTTTCAACAATGGCTTTCTTCTTGCCACTCTTCCATAAAGAACAGATTTGTGGAATGCACGACTAATAGTTGTCCTGTGGACAGCTTCTCCCACCTGAGCTGTGGATCTCTGCAGCTCCTCCAGAGTTACCATGGGCCTCTTGGCTGAATAATGCTCTCCTTGCCCGGCCTGTCAGTTTAGATTGACGGCCATGTCTTGGTAGGTTTGCAGTTTTGCCATACTCTTTCCATTTTCAGGTGATGGATTGAACAGTGGTCCAAGAGATGTTCAAAGCTTGGGCAAGAAGTGTATTCTTTACTGGCCTTTTTGAAGGATTGTGTCAATATTGTAAGTCCACTTCAGGTCCATGGAAATCATAGATCCCAGACATTGAAGGTCTCCACAGTCGACACAGAACTGTTGATTATGGTGAGAGGGACAATGTGGTAGACTTCTCCTGAAATCTATTAATATCTCCAGCAATACAGGACCAGCAGATCTACTTCACACCTGTATGCTGACTTATTGTCATCCCCAATGAGACCAATGATGGATGTGTCATCTACATATTTTAACACCTTAACAGGTGAATCTGCTGAGGCCTACTCATTGTTATGAAGGAAAAAGTGTAATGGGGAAAGCACTGCCATAGGGGCATGGGGGGACAGCTACCTGTAAGCAGGTTGAATTTAGCTAGATAGGTGCTGCCCTGGACAGGACAGTAGGGATTAATGCCTTTCCCAGTATTTTTGTTTTTGGCAAGATCTCTAGGTTTGATCCACTGCACCTGTGGATATAAAAGGGGATAGTGGACCGAGTCCAAGAGCTAGCTGGCTGGTGAGCCCTTTTGCCTTTTGGGTCTTTGCCTCACTGTACTCGGGAGAAGTATAGAATGTTGTGTCCTACTACGGTACTTGGACGTAAAGTCATCAGAACTTGGGGTTCACTCCTGAAGAATGCCTCTGATGGACTCTGCATTTACATGGATTCTACCTCTGCAAGTACGCTGGGGCAGCACATAGCCTGGATAGGACCTCATCTCTATTCCCTAACTGTTGAGTTACATTAGTTGTGCATTGCAAGTAATATCAATGTGTACTACAAAGCATATCTGTCATATAAATTATGCTGGAAAATCTAGGAACCTACACATCTGATCATCTTGTTTTCCTTGAAAAAAAGGGAGTTTCATTTTTTGCTGCACAAATGTCAAGTAACTTTTAAGAACAATGTATTGGTAATATGACAGCCCTGGTCGGAGATTGCAGAGTAAACTTATATTCACATCCTCTCTGAATTGAGCAGCACAATGGCTAAATGGTTAGCACTTCCACCTGGCAGTACTAGATCGTTGGTTTGAAGCCCAACCATGGCACCACCTGCCTGCAGTTTGCATGTACTCCCTGTGCCTGCTTGGGTTTCCTCCCACACTCCAAAGACATGCTGGTAGGTTAATTGGCTCCTATCTAAATTGGCCCTAATATGTGTATGTATGAATGTAAGTTAGGGACCTTAGATTGTACACCCCTTGAGGGTTAGGGACCGATGTGAATGTACAATATATATGTAAAGCACTGCGTAAATTGATGGCGCTATACAAGTACCTATGATAAATAAATTCTCCTCCTCCTACCTTTTGTCATGGCAGGAACATTGACAAAGAGTACCATCTGACAATGCACAGCCAATACAGAGTCTGCCTTGAATGCTTGGTATATTGTTACAAGCAAGACTTTAAAACCAATAGTTAATTCATCATGCTTGTGCCACAAATTAGGCAGTCACATCTCATAAAAATGCTTGATGATAGCAGTTCACATAGACATGCGAAAACGTGAAGCAGACAAAACGATACAGCCATAAATCACAGCGCAATTCATATATTTAATTCTGCACATATTGTGCCTGTCTGGATTTAGGATTATGGTGTTGTTGTTTATAGGTGAAATGATCACTTTAAAGCCTTTAGAAATGTAACAATCTGCCAAGCATTGACCCTGCCTGTAACTGCAATATTTGGATTACATATTGTTTTGGTGAAGTGGAGGATACGGATGTGAACAGGACTATGAATCTATGTAATTTAGTGTTCTAATCACTATAGACAATCCATTTCTGTTGAGTGTCAGGTGCTCCTGAACTAAAACGTGGCAGCTGTTAGTATCACTGCAGGTCAAACAAGCTTCTTATGGCAGCAGATAATAGGTACAAGATTGGCATGACAGAGAGAAAAGTACAGTAAACAAACAAGTTGAAATCCTATTGCACCTAGTGAGATCTCGGTCTTTTCTTGTAAACACATCTTTATCGATCTAACAAAAAGATACATACCTTCTCTTTTTCTGGACATCTCCGTGAAAATTGCTTTTCATCCAAACACATCAGGGGCAGTACTGGAAGAGTAAACAATGAAGAGCATATTAAAGAACCAGACAACCTAAAACACAAATTGCCTTTTCATACAAGAGCTGCTAGTGGCATCCACAAATATGCATGCCAGTTGTCCTTCTTTGTATAATAAGAGAGCTCAGCTTTCAATACTTACAGGATCACTCATGTCTTCCACAAGGTCATGTCTCCATGAAAGGAATGCTGCCGTTTTTTCCCCATCGAAAAAAAATGTTTAAACTTTATTTGTGCTGTGCACACATAGCAGATGACCAGCTGGAAGAGAGGAGGTATGAGCAGAATTGGATTAACAGAAGGCAAGTGGCTACTGGATGCAAGGAAATATATGGGGGTAATAATTCATTCATCAGTAGACATCAGGGAAATACAGGAAAAAATATCACTTTAGTGGTTTTAAGGGAACAAATGGGTTATGAATGTACTAGAAACCCAAGAAAATGTGGGTATATTAACACACTACATAAAAGAAAATAATTTAGTAACTGAGGGGATGCCAGGGAAGTTATGAGTAAATCAACCAATCAATGGATCAATTAAAGGACAAAGAATAAACAAGCACATTAGTCCACTAGATATCAGGAAAATTAGTAGACGACGATGATCTATGGGACACCAAGTAAAAGGAAGAAATAAAAAATAACAAATTCAGCAGAAGCCTGGGAAATGGCTGCATCAACACCAAGCACCAGAGAATACATACAAAATTATATCATTTAAGGAACATAAAGGGTGAAAAAAAACACAGAACCCAACCTTAGCCTAGGGCTCAGCAGAGCAGGTCAGCACTTCCTATATTTTGCATTTTAAATGATGCAATTCTCCATTAACTAAAGTATGATATACCAAGGGGCCAATTTAAAAAAAAGAGAGTGAATACCACTCTGCTGAACAAACTAGTATTACCTCACATTGTTCCCTACATTTTACATTTCACTCATAAAATGCAAACTACAAAGCCTTTGCTGTCCCAAAGAGTGACCTGTGTTTAATGTATATTTAAACTTGAGCTGGATGATATTTAGTTTCTTTAACCACTTCCAGTTCGGACACTTTTACCCCCTTCCTGACCAGGGCAATTTTCAGCTTTCAGCGCTATCACACTTTGAATGACAATTACGCGGTCATGCAACACTGTACCCATATGAATTTTTTACCATTTTTTTGAGACAGATAAAACTTTATTTTGGTGGTATTTATTCACCGCTGGGTTTTTATTTGTTTTGCTATGTAAATGAAAATGTCCAAAAATTTTGAAAAAAAGTGTTTTTCTTATAAAATTTTGCAAATAAATAATATTTCATCATAAATCTTGGCCAAAATGTATTCCGTTATCTTTTTAGTAAAAAAAAAATGAGTTTATAACCAAAAATTAAAATTTTAAACATTTTTTTTTACATTTTTTTTTTTTTTTTTTAATATTATTATTTATTTTATTATTTTTTTTTTTTTTTACATACTGTCACCCTCGCAGTACAGTGTCACCATGGTGACACTGTACTACTTTTGGGGGGTGATGAAGATTTTTTATTTATTTTTTTACACTGATTGTTTTTACACCCATATAGGGTGTAAAAGCAATCATTTCTCCTTCTTTCTGTCTGCATTCTTGCAGCCATTGAGAACTACTGAGTGAGCTGTGATTGGTCACAGCTTGTCACATGGTACAAGGCTGTTGTGAATAGCCTTGTACCATGTAACTTCTGTGACCATTCACAGATTTCACACGTATTAAGCAATGATGTCAGAAGTGACATCTTGCTTACTACTTTGCATGTGATCACTGATGGTCAGACGATCTGTGTTTTACTGTGTCTGGAGGACACAGCGGGCACCGGATCGCGGTGCTGCGCGCTCCCAGGGAGCGCGCACAAGCAGGGTGCGGGGAGGCCATTTATAAACGTCCACCCGACCCTGCAGTGCCACCGTCCGGCCGTTTTATATACAACGGCCGGTCGGGAAGTAGTTAATGTGGTTGCAAAGTATTTTATTATTATTATTATACAGGATTTATATAGCGCCAGCAGTTTGCTCAGCACTTTACAATATAACGGGAGACAATAGAGCAACAATACATTTCAATACAAGAGGGTTAGGAGGGCCCTGCTCCTTGGAGCTTACACTCTAAGGGGAAGGGGCTTGTGGTAAAAAAGGTAATAACTGTGTGGGATGGACTGGTAGGAGGAATAGAAGATTCAGTTTTTTTTTATTAAAATAATAAACAGGATGTTATGGGGGCAGACACAGAAGAGGAGGAGCCCAGAGTGCTGGCAAAGGACCCCAGAAAAGGAGGTTAGGGGCCACTAACATTGGACACAATGGTATTGCACAGAGTGGCCCCTAATTTCCTTTTCTGGGGTCCTTTGCCAGCACTCTGGGCTTCTCTTCTTCTGTGTCTGCCCCCATAACAAGCCGTTTGCTTTGCGGGCAGATGTGGAGGTTTGCTCCCGAGAGGGGCTGTATGTGTTTATAGACACATATAGTGAGGCGTAGCTCCACTTCCAGCTCCCTCCTCACTGGATTTGATTGACAGCAGCAGGAGCTAATAGCTCCTGCTGTTCTCAGTAAAGCCTGTGAGACCCGGAAGCAAGGGAAAGAAGATCTGCAGCCAGGCAACACTGGATTGATAAAGGAATCAGGTAATTGCTGGGGGGGGGGGAATAGACAGTGCAAGGTTTTTAACCTTATTGCAGAGAATGCAAAATACAAAATACTGTTTTCATCCTTTTTATCCATTTTTCCACTTTTCAGTGCTGCTGGTCTTGTAATCACTTCATGTCTATGTGTGCTTGCTCCAGTATTGGCTTCGCAATAATGCTCTGGACCAACAGAAATCTGCCTAACATATTTAGTGGTGTTACTGGTTCTTTTATCAAATAAATATCACAGTTTTGGCATAATGGTTTAGATTTACCTGTTCTCCAGTATCTGAACAGACACATATAACATATGCAAACAACTGAATGAGTACCTTGACTCTAAAGCCATTTTCACTTGTTGTCATATGAGTGCTAATGTATGCTGATATTGGTTGGTTGAAGTATACACTGATTTTATGTATCTTTTGTTCAATCTTTCAGATTGTTCTTGGTGCCTGATTTCCCATGTCTGCAGAGGGATGACCTACAGCAACCCTTCATCTGAAAAATTGAAATATTGTTTTTGAATGGGCTCATCCTTTAGGTCCCTTCCAAATGGGATGGGCTCCATTGGAGTCTGCTTGCTCAGCAGGGAATCTGTCCGCTGAACTCCACTGAGCAAGAGAATGGCTGTTTCATGACAAAGACACAGCACACTCTCCTCTATGGTGGTAAGATGTAAACGGACCACCTCTGTGTTTATACCCAATGGCTATCTGATCTGATCCGCTAGATGAATGGGGAACGTATTATCATCTGTCTGTTTTTATCAGAGAGGATTGGATCAGATGTAGGTGGGTTTAAACAGACACGTCCATTTACATCCACTGCTCCACAGAGGGGACTGAGGGGTCCATTGGGGTCTGCCTGAAAAACGGACTGGCAAATCTGATCAGTCTACTAGTGTGAAAGGGGCATTAGTCATCCTTTGACTTTCTATACATTTCTTCTGCCAATACCTAGCTGCTCACAGGAAGCACAGTCTATCCACGTAAGACTTCTTTGTTTTAACTAGACACTATGGTAGTACATAAACTCACTCCATTACCTGTTGTTGAATACTGTAAATCAAGGAACCACTTTTTAACCTTTTTTATAACAAAAGTGTTCTGAAAAACACCCACTGCAGATTCCTTGCTAGCTCTCACACACCGGAAGCCTATTGGTAGTAAGATGTTCGTCACCTTTAACCCCTTAGTGACTGAGAGTAAAACAAAATGTTAATATCTAAGCACATTATTGCAACTTTGACATGTGTTAGTAAAACTATACATATCTTTGCAATTGCTTTGTGTATCCAGGTGGATTATACCTTGTTTTTTTTTTCAGGACAAATTGGGCTTTCTTCTGGTGGTAAATGGTAATGGATATCTGCTGACTGTTTTTATTATCAAAAGAAAACTGGCCTCTTTTTTAAAAAAAAAATCTGTATATTTCTTGCTATTAACATAATTTACCATAAAAGAACAACTCAAGATAAATTCTGCTGCTGATGATCACAGCGATGCCACATATGTGTATGTTATTTGTTGTATATACATTTTGTTTTTTTGTGTTTCCTGCCTAAAACACACTGACACTGACACAATCTGACACTGATACTAATTTTAAAAAAATTTATATATATAAAAAAAAGATTCTACCCAATGGCCATGGGTATATACTGGCCATGACCTTTGACCCATACATTGACCCTAACACTAACCCTGGCAAACCTTGACCCAGTTATCTTTCTTTTTTTTTTTAATGATTTACTTTTATAAACTTTTGTTAATACCTTCCGCTCGTCAAGATCAGAAAGATACAATGTATCTTTCTCTTCATTCAGAAGAGGAAGTAAGCACAGGGGTGGGCTCACAGTGACTGATCACTGTGACAGCCAGTCAGAGGCTATCAAGTGACCCAGAACCGGGAATCGCGGGTCCCAAGAGATACGCATATATGCATGTTATGGATAAAGACCCTCTTCGGTGAGGCTGCATATCTGCGTACAGTTGGTGGGCAGGGGTTAAGTCTGCCTTGGATGTCAGAATCTAATTTTTGAAGCAGCAGAAAAAGGTAGAATGGGATAAGAAGCTACACAGGAAAAAGCTGAATTATGATTGGTGACACAGCTTATTGTACATGCTAAAACTTCCTGCAAATTACCGTTTTGACTAATGGATTATGTACAATCAGGCTCCATGTGATCTTTCAAAAATTCAAAGTAGGGGTTTTCATGTTGGTATAGGGCAGACATATATTCTTGTTTTATGAAGCACAGTGGGAGGTGAAGCATTTAGCAGGTATTCAGACTTTTGGGGGGGGGGGGGAACAATAGAAAATATCTGGGAACAATCCAACTTCAAAGTAGGGGTTTTCATGTTGGCATAGGGCAGACATATATTCTTGTTTTATGAAGCACAGTGGGAGGTGAAGCATTTAGCAGGTATTCAGACTTTTGGGGGGATGGGGGGGAACAATAGAAAATATCTGGGAACAATCCAACCCAACCAATCCACTCACCTCCCAAAAACAAGCTTGGACAGGGAAAATCTACATAACTGAATATGGCCGATAGACTTACAAATGCTCTTTCACAGTGAGGGGGATTTACTAAAAGTGGAGAATGCAAAATCTGGTGCAGCTCTGCATAGAAATGAATCAGCTTCCAGCTTTTTTTTTATCAAAGCTTAATTGAACAAGCTAAAGTTAGAAGCTGATTGGTTACCATACACAGCTGCTCCAGATTGCGCACTCTCCAGTTTTAGTAAATCAACCCCAGTGTGTCTATACCCACATTATGGCTAATTTAACACTGGAAATATTGTCACTAACTCACCAGTGACTGGATCGATAAGAAGTACAAATTAAAATACTCACCTTTGTTCAGTCAGTGACTAACCAAGGTTTCTCTTATTGCTGTAAAATTGTTGTAATGAAATTTTTACAGTCCCATGGCCCACGTCTTTGCATTATATCACTAAATATGCCCCTACAATAGAGCTATTTATTTAAAAAAAAATCAATTTCACACTTAAAATGGAAGAACAGATTGATAGGAAAATTTAGGGCTAAGTAATTTTCATTTCAACCTGTTGTAAGTTCAAATATTCAGATTCAAAGGGTCATTTCTAATTTTTTTTCCTTAAAATTTGATTCGATATTCTGAGCAGGTTATGGTAAAAAAAAAAAATCACCACTCAAATAAAAGTCATCTTATTTCAAACTCCTCTTAGATGAACTCAGTGCTTCCCACTAATACAAGCTTGAATACATATAAGACGAGTTACAGTAAATTATCACACTCTATATAATATCAATCTATGAGGTATGTGCAGATCCCATATTTCTGTAATTTTAATCTACCTGCTTTAAAAAAAAAAAAAAAAAAAACAATTTTATATTTATATGTATTATGATACCTTGATAATGACAACAGAATTCCAGTTGGTTTATGAAGATAAGAAAAAATGTCATAATGTCATGAATCATATTTCCTTGTCGGAATTGAATCTTTTAAAATATGCATGTGTTTCTTTTTTTTCCAACTCCATGTCAAGGTCTGATGCTGTCTTACAGATTGTGCCAAGACCATTGTTGCTTGAGCTCTCCTGATTTTTTTAAGCAATCACTCTACCATTCTATGGGTTAAATTTCCATTTTCAGACTTAAATCTTGTCTTATCCCCCCTTCTTCTTAAGTATGCAAATTACAAGAGGTTATTGTTCTAAAGTGAAATTAAATAGCTATGAAAAAGCCAGACCATTAATAAAATTTCCATAATATCCCCAGGATATGCCAGCAATTTCTGCAGTTGTGGATAGGAGGAGGAGTTGGTAGGGAGAGTGCTATATTTACATGGCATTGATGTAATTAATTGTGTAAAACACAGGAGTAGATGTGTCTGAAGGGGGCTGGGGTGGGAAATTCACAATTTGCTGTCATTTCTTTTCATTTTTCGCTATAGCTATAGACAGCAAATAAATGTGTCATTCAATAATAGAGAAAAATAGAAATGTAGATGTCACCCAATATAATGCTGGCCCATATATTTACCAATGGTCATAAATTATTAGTTATGATCTTAAAAAAGATCTTTAAAAAATGTAAGATTGCATCAAAGGACAAGTTCACAGATATTAAGAAGCCTCAGCATGGGTAGCCTGACACTAGACCTATGCCAGAGGTAAGGAGGAGGTATGTAAAGACCTGCAGAGGGGGTGGCACAGCTTAGGGGGATAGGGAGGGGGGCTGAACAGATTAGAATTTTGAACTTGTA